GACTTAGGTCTAGATTCTTTTGGACTTAAAACTCGATGTCTTATTGTGAAATCTACCTAGAAAATCATGGAAACTTAGCTAAAAATGGAAGAACTAGGGCTTGGAATTTTGGACCTTTGATTTGGGATTTGAAGGGTCATTTGTGGACGGATTTTGATGTTTTTGGTGTGTATGAACTCGTGGGGAGATAAGGAACCTATTGGTGTAAAAATTTTTGAGTTTCGTGATGTGGGCCCGTGGCTCGGGGTTTTGCTAATTTCGGGATTTTTGGTATTTTTCGATTGTTTTCGCTTGGGCTTTGTTCCCTTAGCATATTATGATGTATTCGTTCTGATTTTGGATAGATTCGATGCGCGTGGAGGCCGATTCAAGGGGCAAAGGCGTCGCGAGCTAGAGATTTAGCCGGTTTGAGGTGAGTAATGCTTGTAAATGATGTTCTGAGGGTTTGAAACCCCGGATTGTGCATCGTAGTACTATATTGAGGTGAGGCACACGCTCGATGACGAGTGTGGGGTCGTGTACTATTAGAGATTTGGAGTTGGTCCATCCCGATTGATGATTTTACCGCGTATTTGATTGAAAACTATTTTTTATCATCGTTTATTGGGCTGATTGCCATATTTGAGCTTCGTGCCAACTATTTGAACCCCTTTCGGGGCTTTTATTTGATATTTCCTTACTGTTTTGACTTATTATTTGAACTCAGTCATATTAAATTCCACTGTTTTACTACTTAGCCGTTTTTACTCAGATTTTGAGATTTAAATGATGTTTGGGCTGAGAAACACTGTTTTACTATAGCCCGAGGGGCTTGTGATGATTTTTGACTGAGTAAGGCCGAGGGCCTATATTGTGAGGAAATACTGATACTGATTGGAGGCCGAGAGCCTAAGATATGTACGCCACGAGGTGGCTTGATTAATATGAGGCCGAGGGCCTAGATTTGATGCCACGAGATGGCTTGTTATTGTGCTTGGGCCGTAAGGGGCCCCTCCAGGAGTCTGCACACCCCCAGTGAGCGCGGGTACCCATTGAGATGTGAGATTGAGCCCGAGAGGCTGTTACTGTTGTGAGATGTTGCCCGAGGGGCGGATGTGGTGTTGCTGTGCCCAAGGGGCGAACTTTTATTTGTTTGCTTTACCGTAATTACCTGTCAATTACCTGCTTTACTGGTTTAAAGAGCATTTTTCCTTGATTTGTACTGATTTTACTAAAATTAACTGATTTTTACTGCTTCATTATAGACTGCCATATGCTTTACGTGTTTTCTTGCTTTCAGTCATTATTTATATTCATTACTCACTGAGTTGGAGTACTCACTTTACTCCCTGCATCCTGTGTGCAGATTCAGGCGTAGCTGGTTCCGCTCCGGAGTCTTGATTTCCTCCAGTTCCAGGCGGGCTTTTTTGAAGATTACGAGGTAGCTGTTGGCGTCGCAGCCCCGTGTCTCTACTCTCCTATCACTTTTGTTTCTTACAAACACTTGTAGTAGTTTATGACTTTAGCAGACTGTACTGTGACTCGTAGATGCTTTTGACTTGTGACACCCCGGTTAGGGCTGTGTTGGGTTGGATTTCCACATTATTCTTGATATTTCCGCTATTTAGAATTATTAAATCATGTTTAGACTATTTTGTGTTGTTTAACTGCTTTAAAAGATGAATTGGATTAAACTGGCTGGCCTTGTCTTCACGAGAGGCACCATCACGACCGAGTTCGGGGTTAGGGTCGTGATACTAATAAATTTTGGAATTATGAACTCAAGCCCTCGTTTTTGAACTTAAACATTCTGACCAGACGTTTCCTTTATCGCGATCGCGGAAATTGCCCCGCGATCGCGAAGCACAAAATGGTATGCTCCTCATATAACCTTACGCGATCGCGCAACTGCACACGCGAAGCACTGCTTGACCACTCACGCGATCGCGACCTTACTCACGCGACCGCATAGAACAACTCACCTCACCTTTTCACAGCTCGCTACCTCTACGCGGCACTGACCACGCTTTCGCGAAGCACATCAGCACCCAAGCACGCGATCACGTTCCAAACTCTGCAATCGCGTAGCACAAACTCGCCTCCGCTCCAAACATGCCTACGCGATCGCGGCCCTCTCTTCGCGATCGCGAAGAACAACCCTTCTGCAACAGAACACCAGCAATTCTGCCAACTTTCCAAGTCCAAAAATGTCCCGTTGGGCATCCGAAACACACCCGAGGCCCTCGGGACCTCAATCAAACATATCAACACATCCCATAACATCATTCAAACTTGTTCCAACCTTCGGAACACTCAAACAACACCAAAACATCAAATCACAATCGGATTCAAGCCTAAGGATCCCAAAACTTCCGAATTCCGCAAATGATGTAAAAACCTATCAAACCTCATCCGAATGATCTGAAATTTTGCACACACGTCACAAATAACACAACGGACCTAGTCCAATTTCCGGAATTCCAATCCGACCCCGATAGATTCTACTGCCAATCGGAAAATGCCAAAATTCCAGTTTCGCCAATTCAAGCCTAAATCTACCTGGGACCTCCAAAATACATTCCGATCACACTCCTAAGTCCCAAATCATCTAACGAAGCTATCTGAACCATAAAAACCAAATTCCGAGGTCATTTACCCATAAGCCAACTTCCGCTTGACTATTCCAACTAAATGGCCAACTTAAGAGACTAAGTGTCTCATTCCTCTCCAAAACTACTCCAAACCCGAACCAACCAACACAATATGATGAAATGTAGTTGAACAACACATAAAGAAGCAGAAATGGGGGAAACGGGGCTATAACTCATGAAACGACCAGACGGGTCCTTACATGTAGGAGCCTTTCTTTCTCTTAGGCCAAATTCATCGCATCTTTTAAAATATTCTCTAACTTCTACGGGTTGAATAAAAAAGCCAGTGAAGAGCCATTTTAACCTTTTCAATTTCAACATTTAAAATTCTCATACCATCATCCACAATTAAATGGTAAATATGACAAATACATCTAACATGAAAAATGTTACTAAATGCAGGATTTAGTGTAGTGGTAAGCAAGGCTACAACATTAGTGTTACTAGTAGCATTATCCATTGAAATTGATATTATTTTATCACTAATGCAAAAATATCTACAAATATTCGTGCTAGAAATACCATGTATGACGTGAATTAATTATTCTATAAGCGATAATGTGCTTTTGCATTATCCAATCCTCATCAATTCAATGACTAGTAACAGTAAGATAATCACAATCATTACCACTTCTACCAATATCAGTAGTAATAACAACACGACAATTAATATGAGTAAATAAATAGCGCAAATATTGTTCATATTCATGTTATATTTATAAATATCGCTCTTTACGGTTGTGCGAGGCCATTCTTTATAAGTAGGATTAAAAACTTTTCTAATATAATGCACAAAGTGAGGGTTAGATGGAAAACTGTAGGGTAAGCACATAACAGTAACCATTTTTTGCCAATTCTTCCCTATCTTTTCTTGGATCATAATATAAAATACCACCGATAACAGTGTTAATTCCCGATTGAAATTGATTTGACCCGGTACTAGGATCAGGCTGACTAGGTACACTTATCCCCCCGACCGCAGCTTTCATATGAAGATATTTAACTTTATCTTAAAGGTGTAGCATTATGTGTCTCCTCAAACTTTCCGTCATCCCCCCCCCCTCTCCGATCAACATAGTTAAAAGCTAAAGAATAATTCTTTGCCACAAGTTTTACACTTAGCTTTATTTTTTTTCTCTTATTTAAATAAAAAAATGGCCGAACAAGAGATGTTTCGGCCCGTTTAGAAGGTTGTCTAAAAAAAGTAGGGGTAGTAACAGGGGATCAGACGGGACATCATTTGGATTAGTTGGGTTAACTTCAGCAACAAGACTAGTGGGTGTATCGTCATTCGGTTGCGTTTCATCCAAATCTATTTCCTGCTCATTATCTTCATCAATAGTTGGATTACCATAAAGAGCATTCATATATTCATAGTCTAAGTGTTCACTACCTCACATTATGCAAATATTGACTCTCAGTAAATTGTAATAAAGTATTATCACTATCAAAAATAGGAGCTGGTGGAGGGCGGGTAAGGGGTGTGGGTAGGGGAGCCCGGGGAATTGGAGGAGGAATAGATTGACCACTAAATTCACTACTCTTAGATTTTCCCTTATTTTTACTAAATATTTTTTTTAACGAAAAATTCATCTTAATTAATCAAACAATACAAAAGTAAATAAAACAAAACAAAACTATAATATTAAAACTTAAGAGTTGGAACGAGTTTACCGAATTGACTAACAACTTGTTAAATATTGTATATCGTTGAAGACTTGAATAATTCAATTCACCAACTTTACAGTTTTTCACAAATTGCAATAATAAAATAAGCAATTATAGAAGAAAATTAGAGAAAGATTGAGAGATTGCTGATTTTGTGAGACAAATGAAAGAATGAGGGGTAGTCATAGCTGAAAATAGGGAAAAAGTGTAATTATAAAAAGTTTGGGATTAAAATAAAATTGGGGGGTTAAATGGCTATTTTAAAAATAAAAATGGCTATTTTTGCAAACCTACGGTCATTTTTTGTACTTTTCTAACGGCTAAAAAAAATTTTGGAATAAGATTTTTATTTTTTTTAAAATAGCCGTTGGGCCCGTTTAGGACCGATTGAACCGGCCCACTTAGTAGCCGGTCCCGGTCTCACGGAATTAGCAAAACCGGCCCACCTGGAAGCCCACCCCACCCGATCCTAAATGGTTACACCCATTTAGCCCCACTACCCGTTTGGTCTTGCAGGCCTGAGCCGGTCCCGGGCCTAACCGGCCCACCTGCCGCCCATAAATCCATACAAGAACCAAAGCTTCAAATGATACATCTAGACTATCTAGTGATGCAAGAGTATAACACAATGCACCTAAAATGAGTCAAGAAGTATTTTAGTAATGTCGAGTTTTAGCTAATAAAACATACCACAAACTTGAACATGAGATGGAATCGAAACAAATATAGAAGTTCTCATATCCACAGTCCATACACAAATGTCAAGGACGTGATATCCTATTAAACATATTTCTCGGATCTTCATCCCCTTAACAGCTGTAGCAACTGAAAAGCAAATACACATTTTTCAGGTGCTCTTTTCTTTTTTCTATTTAAGACTATCCTTTATTTTATTTTATTAGCTATACAACATCAAGCAAAAGAGGAAACGAAAGCAATCCATGCCAAAACTCTCAAAGCAAACTTTATTTTTATTGTTTAACCTTCTTTCCAGACGTATGTAGGGAGATGCTTCTCACAGTACATTCTGCAGACAAGCAAACCTATTCAGTGACCTGTGCACTAGCTGCCTCCATCAGGCCGTTGCGTATCTGATCACCAATGTCACGAACATGGCCAGGACCATGTGGTATGAAAACTGTCGTGTTCTTTGAAGAGTTTCCAAGGTCTTTGATGGTGTCAAAGTACTGGGTGATCATTATAAGATCCATCACTTCTTTAGCGGAGGTGCCTTCTACTTTATGTGAGAAGTTCAAGATGTTTTCTCTCAAACCATCTGTAATTGCCTGCCTCTGCCTGGCAACCCCAACCCCGCCTAAATACTTGGCTTCCGCCTCAGCTTCTGCTTTCTTAACTTGGAGAATCTTTTCTGCTTCTCCCTTGTATACACTAGCAAGCTGCATCCTTTGAGCTACAATACATAATAAGATAAGAGCATAAATTCCAACAGGTGCACTTGAACTACATAAAAAACATCTGACTCTTTTTACACCATATTGCCCTACATTATTTTAATAATTTAGTACTTTCAGAAACAAAAGGGACAGATTAGGTAACCTTTTCTCTCCAAACACCAGATGTGTCCTTAATTGGCATCATGCTTCAAGATCATAAATTCCAACAGGTGCACTTGAACTTACTAAGGATTGTAACAGATTGGTACCATCAATGCTCTATTCAGACAATAATTGTGGAGTAGAAACTAAGTATTATCAACACTCTATCTGTACACCAATTCCGAAGTAGAAAAAGCAGAAAACTAAATTACCATCAATACTCTAATTGTGCCTTCGAAAGGTAAACCATGCATTCTTTGAACAAGAAATTCATCTATATGCAGAACTACACCATAAACTAAGCATTATCAAAATAGTTTTATACACTAATTCAGAAGTAGGAAACTGAGAAACTTAAGTACCATCAACAGAGAGAAAAAAAGAAAGTACCATCAACACTCTATCTGTATTACTAATTCAGAAAAAGAAACTAATTCCCCCTTCTTACCTGCATTTATCTCGTTCATTGCCTTTCGTACAGAAGCATCAGGAATAATGTCAACCATCAGTATGTGCTCGATGTTATATCCATACGCACCCATCACCTGACATATAAGCTAAAATAAGAGACTCCATGGAAACATGAATTTCCTACTGGGCTGGTGAAGTTTCAAACCCTTGTAAGCTCTATAAATATGGCATAATGCAAACATCCCTAAAGCTAGCTTCATGATCCAAACTCTCTCTGTTGCCAATTTTCTCCTTTTATATATGTCGGATTGACAGAGTGTTTTTTCCTTTTGGCGTGTGCTTCTTATTCTAGACCAACTTTGAACATTTTTCAATGACATACTGAAGAAAGGAGAAGAAAGAACTAGAGCACACACCAGACCAAAGCTGAGAAGTTACTGCAGTAGCATCCTTTTTTCCCCTTTTGTAATTTTTCCCCTTTTTGTGGGGCGTGGAGAGGATGGAGGGACTCTGTCATAAGGTTCTGCCTCATTTCCATTTGCATAATAAATTTTAAAAAAATATTTTCTTTTTGAGAGATAAAAAGAAATAGTACAACATATTGAAGACAGCAGGGCAAAACTTACTTTTTCTTCTTAAAAAAAACTGAGTACTTTCTGCTAACATACTGAAAAGAAGACCAGCAGAAAAGCTTATTTTCTTTCAATTAACGAGGAAGGTGACAACTTGAACTTAATATTTCCACTTTCAAAATTCTGAGAGTATCTTCTCCAAAAGGGTTAATTGTTAATTGTCAATTAACCATGCATAGTGCTAGTGCTAGATAATAGGAGGAATGCTCTCTGAAAAAAAAAAAAAAAAAAGAGATTAAGAGGAATAGTACAAAGAAAGGGAGTGTAAGGCCCCGTAAAAATTTGTGCTCAAAACCTAGTAGCTCGTAGGGTCAGGTTCCGAATATGTGTTGGGAATGTGTAAAACTCTTTGCGGCGAGCTAGCCGCGGTTCGGACCCATTGTACTGATCTAAGGATTTAAAAATCAAAGAACCAAGTTTTTCCAGAAGAGTGCTATTTTGCGGTCCAGAATGCGGTCACAAATCAAGTATGCGGACCGCATTTCTGCCGCATAATGAGTCAGTGGATTGGTTAAAATTAAGGTCAAAATGCGGTCCATTATGCGACCGCATAACTGATATGCGGACCGCATTTCTATCGCAGAGTGAGTCAATGTGTCAAGTCAAATTTAAGGTCAAAAATGCGGTGCATTATGCGACCGCAAATTGGGTATGCGGACCGCATTTCCGCCGCAGACCCAAACAGTAGGATTGAATTTTTGGAGCACTTTTGCGGTCCATTCTGCGGACCGCATTTCATCTCTGCGGTCGCAAAGTGCGACCGCATATCTGACTCGGGTACCTATTTTTCTAAATTTTAAACCCGACCCCCTTTTTAATAAAACACCCCAACCCCTCATTTTAACGAGTTTTCTGAACAAAATAAGAGAGAGGAAGAAAGGGTTCTTGAGAGAGAAAGCCATCTTCATCAAAACTATCCGGGCCGGGGAATTTCAAAGTGATTATCTTCATCCCCATTCTTGCAGGTAAAATCCCAACCCTTTTTCATTGATTTTCAGGTTTAAACTAAGGGGGGAGTCTCATGCATTGATTCTTGAAAATAATGGTTGAAAACATACATACATGCCCTTTAAAACCAAGAATCTAGTGAGAGGAATTGGGTAGGAGTAAAGGATTGTACAAGAGGGGTTGATAACCTAAATAAGTTTGAGTAGCAATTGTGAACTTCAATTCTAAGTCATATGTGTCAACTTGTGCACTAGATTGACGTTGCTAGACTATTTGGTGAATTGAAAATAGAAGTTAAAAAGGGAATTCGGCTTCAGGTATGCATGGCTAACTCTGACCTTTGTAAAATCACCTTGTTTGGTGTACGAATATTTGATATGTGATATCTACGTGGATTGTGTGTGAAATTCTTGTGATTGGTATGATTTGAGTGTGCGTGGTTAAGTCTCCCGATATAATGGTGTAAGTAATTGGCAATAAACCAAATGTGTGATTGTGAAAGTGTTATGTGGTAAGAGCTGAGCAACAAGTGATGGAAGGAAATCGTAAATGATGCAATTGGAACAACTGTGGTAATAACATATATGGCTTGTCGTGGGCAATTATTGTTGTGACATAAAATGCATATGAGTTGTTGAATATGATGGAAACGGTATCGATGGTGATCGAAATTCTTTGTGAATTGTTGTTGTTATTCCTTGAGAATTGTTGTTGTAATTCTTGAGAATTGTTGTTGTTCTTTGTGAAGTGTTGTTGTTGTTGTGTTGTTTGTGAATTGTGATTGTTCGGTGGGATCGGGTTGCGCGCCGCAACACGAAGTAATAAGGTGTGGGTTGTGGTGATAAGGGTGGCCGAGGTAATAAGGGTGCAAAGTGATCGAAATCACTATTGAAATGAAAATATGAGAAATTTGTGAAATCATTGATGTGAAAATGTTGAAGGGAAAATGGAGAGATTGTAAACTTGTTTAGCTTGATTGTTTCCTTTCATGTGTATTTGATTGTTGATTCCATTACTACTTGTTACTTGTGTATGGTTTGAGTTTGCTTAGAGCAAAGTTTGTTCATACATACCAGTACAATTCAAATGTACTGACGTCCCTTTTGCCGGGGGCGCTACATTCGTGTTATGATTGTAGGTGGATCCATAACAGGTACTCCAGTCCACCGACCGTAGCTCCCCTTTACTTCCCGTCAGCTGAATTGGTGAGCCCCTTTCCTCTCGGGGCCCTGCGGGCTCATGCCGCTTTTATTTCGGAGTCATGTCTTAATATTTGTGTAAGGTATAGCCGGGGCCTTGTTACCGGCAAGTATTGTATTATCCTTTTGTAT